GGATTTTAGGTGCAACGTCAAAATCGTCTAGGAATGTTCACATTGTTCTTTGTGTAACAACTTTGTATGGAAATGAGTTCTGTTCGTACCTTAAGATATAGTGTGACAATTGTTCGACATCCATACAATGCTTATCTAACCTTATCAATCGTCGTATGTATTCCCGCTTTGGTTAACTGCTCGCCATTCCAAAGAGCAAGGTTCTGATTCGATTAGTATCTAACAGCTGAAATTATAAGTCGTCACTTTTGAAAGCCAATATTCTTGTTTTTTTAAAACGTTGCCCCACACTAGGATTATCTCCTGTGTCGTGGGTGCGTTTACAAACATACAAGTTCACATACACATGACACCCCAGACCCGAAACAACAATTTGTGGATCACACAAAGTGTTGTTCCGTGCGGGAATCGAACCCGCGACACGTTGCACAGCAGCCGGTTGGCCAGCCACCGCACCAACCGTGCAGTCAATATAAAAATGACTGTTTATCGATTATACATTTGCTCAATCCAAAGTGTGTTTTGTTTGATAGATAACACGTCTAAATTCTCTGCGTGTACCTTCTAAGCTTTTTGTACAAGTAGAACAGGCGGCGCTGACGACAGAGTAAAAAAATATCTACATTTGTTATATTACCTACATACACTGCACATGCAACAGCGACTGGACTACAGCGCACTTGAGAAGACGGCAAGCTCTCTTCAGTATGTGGAGTAGAGGAGTTCTATAGTCTTACAAAGCAGTGGGCAGTCTTGGGCTGGGTGACTAATGCATAATACACACTTAACAATTTAACTGTGAAGACCTTACTGTACAGCTAAATCGTAGGTCCATACAGCCTACACACCTTACGATACGACGAAGGTGTGTACCGAGCTTAAGTTTTTTAGTGTCTCATTCGCATACTGTTCTCATTCTATTTCAGGTTGTGCCTTAGTTACGTGTACGTTTCCCCTACTCTTCGTACGATGTTGGGGTTGCTGGTTGACGGAGGATCCCGACTACCTGGACTGGTGGATGCCTGTGTACTACGGCGTGCTCATCGTGGTCTTCCAAATAGGATGGGCTGTTGTGCAGATATCCCATCTCGCGATGATACCAGCTATTTCGGATAACCTTCAAGTGCGCGCTGATTTAACTTCTATCAGGTAATTTCTGCCATATTATGTAAAACGCTGTACAAAAGTTACAAATAGGACCTGAACTCCGGGTACTATGTCGTAAAACCGCTGTGACAGTAACATTCTCTTAATTTTCGGTTACTCAACTAGGATCCCTTAGTCCGATTCTTCACTACAAGAACCAGTGATGAGAATCTAACATAGGAAAAAAGGAAAGATAGCGATAAAATAAAATTCTCCTATATAACATGCATATAAATTTCGTTTCAGATATATGGCTTCTGTGACCTCAAGTTTGGCTGTGTACCTAATAACATGGGTTGTGCTAAGGGCCAGCAACTACAGCACTTTTATTGGACCAATGGATGACTACAAATTCAGGGTAAGCCCCAATAAATAACTACTACACACCTAAATAGACTAGATGACCCTACAAACGCTCCAGCTACAAATGGACCTTCTAACGTATTTCAGCTAGTTTAGCTTTCCCGGTAGATTTCATTCTGAAAACGTAGAACGTTCTAATGTTCGATTTACGGTAACAATTCTAGTAGGTACCTTTCCATATCTATCTAATTCCTAATCCTTTTCCATTCCCGATGTCCAATTTGAGTTAACACTCAGAAACTAACGTTCGGTGTACCTATGTAAAAGTGACTGTTAACACATCTACAACATTTGAGAGAAATTCCTTATTTATATCTATTGCATGGCAGACACCCACTTTCATACATTGCATACTCTCGCCTTAATTACTTACATTAGCTTGATGTAATCAAGTAATCGTTAAGATGCAATTACACAATGCAACATAATTATCGTGCACCATGAGCAATAGCAATTTTGCAGTTAATTAGTATTTAATGTGATCATAGCATAATATCACGCCTGGTAACTTATTAGGTTCCTATTATTGCACTATGATTTGGTTATAGTTCTTTTATCTCAAGAGCGCGCGTTAGCCATAGTTGTAGTTGTCGCGGAGAACCTAACGGGTAACCGGGGCTCCGGCTCGACGTGCAGGAGAAGGAACGGGGTGGTTTTAGTCAGTAAGAGTCTGACACTCCCTCCCGCCTCACCCAGGCGGGAGCAGTCATTCGATGCTTTTTTCCCCCCTTAAAAAAAGCCATAGTTGTAGTTGTAGTGCGTATAGACACGCGCGCTTGTGTGCATAACTCGCAGCAAGCTCATTCATGTGCATGCCGGCCAAAACTGGACGTTCCAGAGCGTACGCATACAAAGAAAATGTGCGTGTACCTACATTTACCCACACAAGTATGGAGCACCCGCGCTCATGAGATAAAAAATCTATACCTAATAGAAACAACTTGTGCCTATTTACATATTCTACAGTTACGCTTACGAGTACCTACCTATTCAATCATTTTAGTCCCGACTATCCAGGATCTATATTACATTTCAGGGTGTGTCGCTCATCATTTCTGGCATCGGAATAGTGTCATTCCTTGTGTTCCAAATATTCTTCAAATTAAAACCGAAGAAGGAGGAGAAAGCTAATGGCCACGCCGTGAACAATGGCCAAAATGGAATAACACCTTCAGTGCAAAATGAAGAGACTGGTACTCTGGAGGTCGCCAAGTCGAAAATTATGTACTTTCTTCGCATGCCGCTATTGTATCAAACTAGTTTATTGTAAGTAGACCACTAACAGGTCATTTTTTACTTTATTGTTATGTAATCAAGTTGAAAATGTAAAATAGATTCATAGGTTCTTATGGGATTGCAACGAGTAGTATTCACTCATTATTAGGATGCTTGCTTAACAATGAGGCTTGTTTCATTTTTACCAACTGAGTACAGTGAATAGGTCTTAATGCTAAATTAGTTCCATCTAGTGATCACAAAATCAATACCCCTCATTGGGTTACTCTTAATTTTAAGCCGTATTAAAGACTAGATTAAAATTGTTTGTCTATTTAAATGACTGTTCTGGTTTCAGATACGTATTCTCCCGGTTATACTGGGCTCTAAGTCTAGTCTACGTACCGCTATTCCTAGAAGAACGCCTGGTGTTCAACCCTAGCGCTGGGTCCGAGCTGGTGGCCAGTGTACCTCTAGTCCTATACATATCCTCATTCTTCTTTTCATTACTCTTGAAGAGTAAGATCAACCGGTTTGGAAATCAGGTAATAATTGACTTATTTTAAGTTGAACTATTTATTCTCCAAAGAGGTCAAACTGTATTCTGCCTGCAGAATACAATGTGATATCCACTTTTGATCAGTTTGTTACGAGTTCCATTCCATATGGTTGTGAGCCTATTTCTACATACCGGGGATAATTCCAGATTGCACCGAGAATTTTCGGAAAATCAGAACTCAAGTAGCACTTTACCTCACGAATCGAACCCGGAATTAGGTACCCGATTAAAGAAGCTTTCTTACTTTTTTACTTAACAATGATAAATTGTGTCCACAGGTGGCGTATTTAGTGGGGAGCTTGCTAAGTCTGTTAAGTTGTCTATGGATAGCAATAGCCATAGATCCAAATGCTAGTATAGTACAAATATACATGGTCGCTACTTTAATTGGTAAGTTGCTAATTTTTTTTTTATGGGTAAGCAATCGGCGTCGCCTATGGGCACCCGGAACACCAGAGGCGTTACAAGTGCGTTATCGGCCTTTTGGGGATTAGGAATTTGAGGATTGTTGGAGATTCAGTGATTGGGGAGATTAATTGGGCCTCCGGTAACCTCACTCACACGACGAAGCACGTCAGTTTTCTGTGAGCGGTATCACTCATTTCGAGCCGACCCATTCGTGCCGAAGCATGGTGGAATAAAATATTAATTTTTAGTGTTCCCACACTTCATAATCTTCAGCTTATCATGGAACATCAATGGAACAGCCCGTTAGTCTTCTGCTGGACTATGGACCTTGTCTACAAAACCGGGGTTTGCCATGATCTGCACGATTGCCAGTGCCAAGCGAGTCGGAGAAACAGGTTTATCAGAAAACGGTGCTGCCCAGTCCCTATTAAAAGTAGTCCTTTAATCGTCTTTTACGTTACCCATGTGCAGAGTACTTACCTAGTCGTAAAACTTGAATCCCATATAATAGGAGATGAACCATACACCGGGTACCACCGTACTGCTACTGAGACCTTTCGAAAAACGGAAATAGTCTCTAATAACTCTGATGGATCGGAGAATCTAATGTCAAGACCCCTACATCCCCTCTTCCAGATACTAGTAACCAGTACGCGATGAAATATTTGCAGGTGCTGGCAGTTCTATAACCTTAGTATCCAGTCTGTGTGTGACTGCGGATCTGATCGGTCCCCACTCCCACCAGGGAGCCGCCATTTATTCCATAGTCACTTTTGCTGACAAACTCGTGACGGGAATAGCTGTAGTCGCCATTGAAAATTTGTAAGTATAGTTTTAAAAATTTGTAAGTTCGTGGCCCGAGACCGTCATTATTATTTTTTGCAATTGGCTGCGTATACAAACGAAATCACTTACACATCATACCTAGGCGTTCGTTGCGTACGCGTTCGGCGCGCCGGCGCCAATAAACTAACCAATCAGAGCGCCGAACGCGTACTCGTTACGATTACTTTAAACGTAAAACAAACTCGTACGAAGGCCTCTGCACATGCATCATGACATGACTGACTGCCAACTATGCCGTGGGTTCGATTCCCGCACAGAATAACTCTTTGAGTGATCCAAAAATTATTGTTCCGAGTCTGGGTGTTATGTGTATGGAAATTTGTATGTTTGTAATCACATTCACGACACAAGAAAAAAAAGTGTGAGGTAACGTTTCAAAAAACATCTAGAACAATTTGTAGATTACACAAAGGGTATAAAATTGGGATTCATAATATACCTACATACAAATCAAATACCTTTCTTCTCTTCTCAAATTTATTATGAAACACTACAGTTTTTCCGTGTTCATACATAATCACATCACACAAAATCACAATTAGGTAGGTATATAAACCTACTCGACAACGAACTGCGAATGTCTCCAATTTAACATTTAATGCAAAATAAGATCTGTTTTGCCTAGCACTAAAACTCAGTTTTGCATGTAGGTACTAACAGTGTTCTCACTTTATGTGTATTCGCTGGGAATACAAATAATGAGAAAAAGGTTGCTATAATTGCTTTTAACAATTTCAAACTTATTTTATGGTAATAAGGAGATTTCTAGCAGTTCACTATTACTTATTTAAATTAGACTCGTTACATATAATAACGATGGTATTTACCTTACATTATATATTATTAAAGATAAGAATTACGTACACTTTCTACGATTACGTATCATAAACACAGATATCTTTATAGTATTGCCCTATAGAGCTTATAATATTCAAAAACTTTCCCTTAGGAATGTTACAGAGTTCTTAGAAAACTAGACTGTGTTTTATTACAATATGTAAATTGTAAATTACAATGTAACTTGCAATATAAGTAGGTATATACACTACATCGGTTACATAGGTATTCAATTTTATGTATTTTTATAACTGTTTTAATCAATCAATGAAATTAAAATATCGTAGGAGATTGATGTAAAACTGTACCTAACCTAACCTAACCCGAAACTTGACATTATATACTTAGTAATCAATATAATATTATCTTAAGACTCAGTCAAAAATACATCACATTAATAGTAGATAGAAACTACTGTAAAAGTACCATTTGTACATTGTAGTTCCCATATATCTAGCATGTAAATTACGTGTGCAGTTCCAATTTCTATGTGGAGTTTAGCCTAGCCATATATATCCTTTTTAAATAATAATATCATATCACTATTAGATTAAACATCTTTAAATGTTTAGTCGAATTAACATTAAATGAGTCAATAACACGTTTTAACTGATATAATTTGTGTTTAACTCCTACCTACATGACTAGATGGTACATATTTAATAGCATTAAAAGCTTAAGTATTCTGCAGGTGTCCAGTAAAGTATGGATGGTCTTGAAATCACTACTTTCCGATACGGCATAGTACACCTTCTATTTATAGGAAGAATTTATTTAACCCAGTGCTCAGATGCAATTAAATTAAAAAAGAAAATCCAATATTGCGTTCATTTTTCTACATTAAACATATTTAGTTGTTTTTTTTAAATGGATCAATATCAAACTTTAAAAAACATATTATTGACCACCAAAGACTTTTTTTTAATACACATGGTGTTCAACCTTTTCAAGATTATCCATTCATTACTGATTTATATTTTGATAAGATTCTAGTTCGATAGAGGATTTCATTGGATTTAATAACAATATTATTTTCTGTTTCAGCAAATGCGATAATGAATTAAATTGTCCGCAATACTACAGGGCAGTCCTGACATACGCTTGTGGTGGTAGTGCAGTCCTCGGCATGCTATCTTTATCATTCGTTAAATTTACGCCTGGACACAAAAATGAAACGGATTTATAAAATTGTATAATTTGAGTAAAATTACTATTTATTATCTATGATTCAAATTGTGTACATATGGTTAAATCTGTTAAATTAAACGACATTTTAAAACATCAGCGAAGTAAGATATTATGTTTTCCAACGGGAATCTCAGTGGTAGCAAAAATAAATTAAATATTGGGAACTTGCCACTGCTCGGCAATTTACTGTTTTACTCACAGTATTCTCTATCTATTATTTATTTACGGATTACATGATTGTTATGGAATCATGTAGTTTATTGGGTTTTTCTATTAAACCAGAAAAAATATTTATGTTGGTTTTATTGGATTTAATTGAAACACATCCAGAAATGGATCATAATTGTACTTAAATGGGAAAGGATTGGCCTCAAAGTTAACCATAACCTTAAGATGAGGCCTCTTTCTTGTTGACCTCGCTTTATTAAACAATTGAATCTGTTTTTTTAAAGATGTTTGATCAAATAGTGCTTCTATAAAAACACTGTATAAGTTAGTACATGATCTTACTAAGTTGTCTGGATCTGCAACTTTAGTATGATCCCATTGTTTCAGATCGGCTAAATTAATATTTTCTAAAGTACTACACTCACTAAGCGCATCAAACAGCTTCTGGAAATCTATTCCCTTATCTACAATACGTACATTTTTTAATGATGTACTAGCTTTAATATAACGACAGATATTATGGCTATAACCGCGTGATGTCAGATTAGGGCACTCCACTGACAAAGTAACTAAATTATAGAAATTCTGAAACAATATTGAAAAGAATTCAGAATGATAATTTACAGCTCCACCTGATATACTGAAAAATGTTACTTTTTGAAAATAGTCAGCATATGTTGGCAATAATATGGCAGATATTGTTTCAAATTTAAAAGCAACACTAATTTGGGTCTTAGTTTTCTGTATCAACACATGATCATAATCTAGTACAACAGTGGGCACTAATGTTTTCCTTCTCTTGCTCTCCTTTGAAGAAGGTTCTCCCATATCAATAAGACATGGGGTTGGCTCCGTAAAGAACCAGTCATAATTAGGTGGACAAATTTCTTGATTTGTTTCCTTATAATAAAAAGGGAAATATGGCTTGACTCGTTCATACAATCTATTAAAAAATATATCATCAAACTGTGTTGTTTCTTTTTTCCACATCATTAAGGCAATATTTCCTACAAGATTTCTAGTATGATCTGTAACAGATTCCACCTTTACATTAAAATGTGTTGTGAAAAATGGATATAATTTTGGTGAAGCACAAACATTCATATCACGAACGTGCATTGTGGATATCACACAAAATTCATAGTCTTTCCAATTTAGAGCTGCTACAATGGGGAAATTTGAGAGGAAGTCATATGTTCTTTTAGCTCTCCAATCTACTAAGAAAAGTGCCAAATGATCGAAGCTTGTTGCAACAGAGGGTGTATATCTTTCTACAAGTGATGTGTTCATATGATCATACTCAACGGCACTTAGTTTTAATGTTTCTAACTTTGCTTTCTCCAACATATGAATAACTGTCCGAGATAATAGTAAATTAGTCAAAGATCCAACAAAATGAATATTTTCAAAATGATTGAATAATTCCTGATAGCCCTTCAACATATTTTCATCAATCCGAATAATAGGAGATCTTCCGAACACAAAATTAATCACTATATTCTTCAAACTGGGACATACTTTGACTATTTCTTGTAGGTCAGGAATATTTAGATTTGTATATGAAATATCTAATGTCTTTAGGCGGTTTAATCGTTTAAGAGCTGGTAAAACCGATTTCACTAACTTTAAGTCAGGTACAGCTTGCATGTTGAGCTCCAACAAGTTTGCTGAAATTGATTTGAAGTAGTGCGTCTTCAGTATATTCACAGTTGCCATTTTATTCATGAACATACTAAATTTTGAAATCCCAGAGTTAGAAAGTACATGTCTAAAATAGTGGCAAGTATTAAACAAGTTTAGTTGATCCGATAAATCCAGCATCTTGACAATCATGATCATTACTTCTTCAGGAACATTTGTTATGTGTGCCATTGTAGTGCTGAAAAAAAATATATAAAATTACACACAAAATTGTAAATAACAGTACAACTAACTGGTACAGAAAGGGTGACAAAATACTTAACTATCATTAAGTTTTACTTCAAACAAAGGCTAGTGGAGAAAATTAAGCAAATTAATAAAAATAGTGCAACTAACAGACAAGTTACAGTGACAATAGGCAGGCTATGAAGCCCATGACCTGAGGTGCTCCTCCAAGTTTGCTGGAGTAGTAAACTCAAAAAAAAAAAATTAATAACTAATTACCGACTTCAAAAAAAGGAGGTGGTACTATGTTCTGGTGATTGTTTGTTTTTTTTTTTTGTAGGGGCGAGTAATTCGTCTATTTTTAAACACTACAATGAGGGTCTGAAGTCGACCTGATGATGGAGTCGACAGAAAGTCGAGAGAACTCCCCAATTATATTAAGTACCTTGTGTTTGGGCTTGATTAATTTGTATTGATGAGGACTTTACACCTAGATAGAGCGGGACTGTCATTAAGGGTCTGATGATGAAGAAGTGTAATTGCTAGGGAACTCTCCAACAGTTTATAATGTCGCGGAGAACCTAGCGGATTACTGGGGCTCCGGCGCGACGTGCAGGTGAAGGAACGGGGTGGTTTTTAGTCAGTAAGAGTATGACACTCCCTTGGGCAGTCATTTGGAAAAAAAATCCTCGTCCATCGTATCTAACATATTTAAAAATTCCTTCTTCGGTCTTTTCTTTAAAGATAACACTGGCCACTGGTCAACAAAAAATCTTTTTTTTTTAAGTTACAAGTGAAACAATGTATTTTTTTCATAGAACATAGCATAGTGAGTACAATCTTTGATGACTATCACGTCTAGATTTTATGTTATCTGTTAACAAAGTTCAGTAATTTAATCATTTTAGCGTATTTTAAATGCTGTACATAGAATTATCTACACTTCTGGACACATATATTGGCTTTGCTTGTATTTTCAGTTTCGTTTGGTCCTAGCTAAAATTTTATATTAGGTCGAGCAAAAAGTTTTTATGCAGTTTTGAACCTGGCACATTCACAATTTCATTCAAATGTCTTTTTTTGAATTTCGAACACAGAATTTAAAGAAACAAAAGACAATTTGGAGCCTGTTTGTTGATATCAAACAATCGAATACTAAGAAAACTTGGTTTTATTGGTTTACTTGGATTTAATTCTTGAAAAGGTGATTGATATCTTTGGTTTTGCAACAAGCATTACTTATTCTTAACATTAAGGTGAGGTTCTATCAATAATCTATGGATACTTCACCTGAATTCGCCGCCCCAAGCTGTGGCACTTATTCAGGCCGGACACAGCCAAAGAAACGAGAGTGCTCAACTTAATTTAGTCGATCTGCGGTCCTAAAAGTTTATCAGAGGTACCAAGAGACTGGCGGCTTTGTTCGTCGCCAAGGAAAGCCACGATCTCGGGTCACAACTGAAAGGCAGGATCGATTCATCGTGACGACCAGCTTGAGAAATCGTCACCTTACATCCATTGAGATACAAAACCAACTTCGCGACTTCCACGGAGTATCTGTGAGCGCTCAAACTGTTCGGAGAAGGTTAAAAGAACGCGATATGGTACCACACAAGCCAGCTAATGAGCTCAAACTAACGCGAGCCCACCGAATAGCACGCCTTCATTTCGCACGCAGCCATTTAAATTGGACACAGCAAGATTAGAGCCGTGTACTCTTTTCTGATGAGTCTAAAATTGTGTTATATGGCAATGATGGAAGGAAGAAGGTCTACCGACGTAAGGGAGAGCGTTTCGCACAATGCTGCTTTGAAGAGAGGGTTGCTTATGGCGGTGGCTTAAGACTGTCTGGGGCGGTATATTCGCGAGCGGCAAAACTAAACTTGAAGTTGTTACAGCACCACGGCTGCCAACATTAACCTTCAAGCGGGCGCGCGGTCTTTTGTAACGGGAGCGGGCGCGCGTAACCGAATAGACCTATGGGATGAATAAGACCAAGAAAGCAATAATTATGGGATAATCATTTATTAATTTGTACTAAGATACAATATCATTGTCTTTAAAGAGAAATTTGTCACAACAAGTAATTAAAATTATGAAAAAGAAGCAATTATTAAGTCACCTAAAGTAACTCAAATATTCTTTGGATCAAAATAAAAATTAAGACGTATATAAACCAACCTAACATATGTAAACGGTACATATGTTAGGTTGGTTTATATACGTAGACCAAAAAATAAATAAAAAGTAAGGATAAAACTGTAAAAACTCATTAATTTTGATTTTATTTTCGTCTGAGTCAGTATTCTAGTAATTTTTCAGATTTTGCTACTTCGTTACTTTATCGCGTCCTGTAAAACAGCTATTTATTTCCGAAAGCTACAAATTATTCTCATCTAAATCCGACAAGGATGATATCACATCAGATAGATGTTCTTCTAAAACTATGTGATGAGAAGTTTCAGAGCCTTGGTTGCTAAGCTCTGATTCACTCTCTTCTTCGTCTTCTCTTTGTAATTCCTCGATTACTGTACTTTGCGATAACCATAAACGACTTATTTAAACAAAAAATGCTTTAAAACACCAAAACTCCAAGCTGAATTAGATAATATTGACATGTGTATGTCGCGTTGGGCGTCGCGCGTAACCTATCCGACGACAGGCGCGTGTAGTCTTTTCAACGACTGCGCCAGAGCCTAAATAATTGTAATTTGTGGAGTGTAGAGATCGCTTCAAGCAACGAAATAGTTTTTATTTTACTCCTAAAAAGATAGTGACAGGCTACTAGAAATTAGAAATGCATATGACAACTAAAAATAAAAATACGAACGAAAATGTATTAACCGCGGTCGATTCGACTACGCGCGCCCGCTTGAAGGTTAAATGCTGTAAGGTACATTGGTGAGTGGTTAGAACCTCACGAAATACGCGGACTACGCGGCCTATGTGGGCCTAAATTTCCTTTTTATGCTTAATAAAGCAAGAGCCCATGCGGCCGGCATCGTCAGGGAATGTCTTTGGGATGTGAACATCACAGCTATGGACTGGCCAGCCAGAAGCCCAGACACGAACACCATTGAGCACATGTGGAACGAGCTAAAAAGACGTGTTAAGGCTCGTCAGCCAGTTGCCCAGACGATGCAGGAGTTGAAAGCTGCCATAGAAGAGGAATGGGAGATGATCCCTCAAAATTTCATACAGCGGTTGATAAACTCTATGCCTGATCGTATGAGAGCTGTGGTAGATGCTCATGGAGGCAACACGCGTTATTAAATTAAACCTTTATTTGATAAAACATGTTTCTTATTCAAAAATCACTTGCCTTTAACAGGGCGCATATCCGATTTGTTAGGCGTAGCTCCATGTCGTATAGTATTCTGAATTCAAATTTAAAAATCCCATCGAAACCTAAACTCTAAGGTGGGCCAATAGATGTATATTTTTAACAAATTAATTTAAAAGATGCAAGTTTAATTTTTTTATAGCATTTATAGAGTTGATATTTTAACAATCACCATAGCTGAGATATATGGCAGTTTGTTTCTATTGATTTTTTGCATACAACCGATATTAAAAATATTTTATGCATAATTCTGACTGAATTTCAAACTGCCATAAATCAGTGATGAGAAATATAACATCATAACATCACGCCTTTTATCCCCGAAGGGGTAGGGTGCACCTCTGCATACAGAAGTAACACCCACTTTTCACTATTTATGTTGTGAGTCCCATGTAATAGGGGGTGAGCCTATTGCCATATACCGGGCACATTTCCAGACTCCGTGCTACTACTGAGGATTTTTTTAAAAACCCAGTAATACTTTGCCCGACCCGGGAATCGAACCCGAGACCCCTTGCCCGGCAGTCGCACTTGCGACCATTCGGCCAACGAGGCAGAGGCAGTGATGAGAAATTCTAGAGAATCAATTCAAAGTGATATCAAGAGAATAAGATTTGTACCATATATTGTAGGTACTTATCAAAACATGTTTAAATATAAAAGGTTTTTGTAAAAAGTCACGGAATAAGCAAAAAATTATATAATTTCAGGAATTTAACAATAGATTACACAAAATCTAGACGTGATAGGCATATACTTTCTTTGAAGAATAAGGTCATCTTGTTGAATTCTATTCATAGAATATTTTATTTTAGATGTTACAAAATACTTGTCGACCAGTGTTATGTGCTTGTTATCACTATTAAACTGTCAAACACCAAGCGGTCACCGGTGACCGCAACCTATTGTTCTATAATTGTGTCTACAAAACCGGTACTCGACGAGTTAATTCTTATGATAGATACTTTATTATAAATTAATGGGGTCAAATACTGCTTAGTCCTTTTCCCATAGTAATTTCTAACCTTTGGTATTACAAATTTACCCTGTGCAGCCTTCCTAGTATGATATTTATGTGTAACAGATTCCTTATATTTACTTGTATTGTACTGTTCCATAGCTAGAAGGTATTCCACTTTGGTATGCACTGGTAGTATTTTACAAATGTTGTACAGTCTCTCATAATTTGGTTTACATTTCAATCTAACCTTTGCATAGGAGATATTTCATTAGTCTAGTCTGTAGTTCTATTATGTGATCAAGTTGAGTTTTGAAGGTGAGTCTGTATCTACTTAGTCCATATCCAATTAACGAGTCTGCGAGTGCATAGTACAATATATACAATATTTTTCTACTTACAAATCTATTTAGATGGAAGAATTTACCCAGGATTGATTGAAGCTTACTTCATACATCTTTAACGTGTGATTTCCAGTTAAAATTATTGTCCACTGTTAGACCCAAGTACGGGTATTTGACTACTATGTCTATGTTCATGCATCGACAGCTGTCTTTGTTATTGTGTAAACAATTATGTGTGCCCTGTTATGTGTAAGTTTAGACTATTATTCTTTATGTAGGTGTTTTACGGCAAGCTTTGTCTTTGAAATTTAAAATGATGCCATTGCCATGGACCCATTTTATTATGTTCTGTCTGCATGTGGGTTTGAACCTCCGACATATTGTTGGATGAGTACAGTATGCACATGTCATCCGCAAACATAAAGGTCTTACAATATTTTATCACGTTGATGACACTATTGACATGCATTATGTAGCCAACTGGTCCACATACTGAACAAGATGGCACCCCGAGAGTAACACTTACCTCATCTCCAAATGTTTTGTTGTACATAGGCTCATATTAATGATATAATGGAATGGCCACAAAATTGTAAATTAGGTATCTATTAAGGTTTTAATGAATAATTTTGTAGAGAACTTATGGCGATGACTTCTAACCTATCAGTGGGTGGGGAACCTATCAGTACTAATAATACTTTTTAGTTTTGACTTTATATTTGTTATTTAGTTGTTGGTTTGTGAAGTCGGTTTTTTAAACGCAGATTTTATTTATTACGTTTATATATTATGTTCATTGTTCAAATAGGATTTTGTTTTATTTTAAGAACGTAAACTGCTTCTGAACGGTTGGAGTGTAGCAAGCACTATTTTAGAGGAGCCGCCTTTACCATGGCATGATACATTTAATAATAAAAAAAGTTAGAAAATATTAGGTACCTGTAACATGTCACATCGGTAAATATGGTTGATCTTAAGTTGAGAAATGAGAATGGGATCTTCTATTAATAATAAAAAAATACATATAAATTGAAAACTTACCAATTAATCAATTTAATCAATGTAACATTTATTGAACTGATTCAACTTTTAGAAGTTGTATAAAATATTAACGACTTCGTATTTAGAAAGTAATTATTACCATTTTTCACTTAGAAATAAACATGTACCGAACCGCTAATGGACATTTTCTCATTTGTCATTGACACTTTGATGTCAGTTTGTTTGACACAGGATTACAATCGAATTGAAGTGACAATAGTAATAAAAATCGACTCAGCATACATAATGGTCTTTTGGCAGTCTACTTTATAGCCCTAAAACTTATAATAACAACTTTACACAACGTCCTTGACTTCCCATATGTCCAAATTACCTTACCCAAATGTCGTACTATCGACACATATTTTGTTTATTCTTCTAAATAACTACAGACTTGACTATAACTAACTTCTACTAGCGACTTCATAGTATACCTACGCATTAATAGGTGATTCCCGTATTTACTATTTTCGTGGGAATTCAGGGAAGTCCTCTCTTAATGTTACTCATACACTCCCCAAAGAACACAAGATGCTTAATTACCTATGTTAAGTTTCTGTCAGTTAGTTATTTAGGCACTCAGTAACGGAAGACGGGCTTAAATAATAGGCACTTTACTAACTAAACTAATAAGATCTGTCGTACTATCGAGAATTTATTCTTTTATTTACGAAAGCGGAAGTCGTTTTTCTACAGTTGGTAAAACTGTATGAACCACTAGTGATGTATCGCACTTAATAGTGTGAGTGCTAGCATTCGTGACTCGATGTTTCGTGACTCGACATTGTTTTACGAGGTTCTAAAAAACATATGTCTTTTTCCTTTTTTTGTTACAGGTCAATTCTATTTTTAATATTTTTTTTTGCAATATCTTTATTACTTTTCATTTCACAGTATTACATTTTTCAACCATTCTATTAATCAGGGCTGTCCAAGATATATACCCTCGCGGGCTAATTAAATTTCTTACAAAACCTGGAGGGCTAGAAAAATATTTTTAGTTGTATAATGTATTCTTTTAACATTGTATTCTTTACTCACAGACTAAACTTAGAGACAAATCATAAACTGAATTTTATTATTGTTGTTGCACATGAGATGAAGATGTTGAGATTAAAATGTGTGTCGCGGGCCACATGATGCTTTCAAAAATAATAAAATTAAATAAGTAAGAATTGAAAAGAAAATAAGCAGACATAAAAGTCAAAGACAAAGCATTTATTTCAATTGAACCTTAATTTGGTACTTTAAAACAAAACAAGTATAAAATAAATAATATTCTGTCAGTCAGTCCGTCAGTGAAGCTAGGTGATCATTCCAAAATATAGATTCGAATGGAGAAGAATGAGCAAGAAACGCCATCGTTTTTTTTAAGTATGTTCCACTATGTCTGATACATATTCCGATACTGTACGTATATATGAAAACAATACAAAGAAACGCTTGACGCATTACACTAATTACAAAACTTACTAAAATGAAAAAATAAACAAAACAAAAAAATCTTATAGTATAACATGGTGCTCATATATGCATACTGACCATCCATAAAATTTGTGGTTCTGTACAAGAAAAAGGAAACTCTTTGATTCAATAAAGAAAGAAATGCTCGATGCCATAAGGAACCTAGATTGTCTACATTAGAATGAAAGTATTAAATTACCTACTATTGGAATTTAACTACTGAATAAATTTGAGTATTGTCCAGTGGAGCCGCACCAACATCCTGCCAAGCATTTTTATCTTCAAGATAATCTGTCAGTGTGTAATGCCTAAAAATACCGTTTCGTCGATAAATTCTAACTTTTGACCGAAACTTTGACCTTTTTGCTAAATACTATGTACTTTTATTATATACTAGCTTCTGCCACCGGTTTCTCCTGCGATCCCAGGGGTAAAATGCCTATATATTCCTTCATATCATAAGATTATGATGAAATTTGGAACAGAGGTAGATACCTCTGTTCCAAATTTCATTCCGATTCCTTCAGTCGTTTTAATATGAGTGAGTAACAAACATACACACAAAAACATATTTTTACATTTATAATATCAGTTTAAGCTAACTTTAACCATCGGCCCTACAGTTATAGCGTAAAGTTCAATGCGGGCAACCTAACATTCGACAAACTTATATTTGCGTTTGGTACAGCAGAAAGCACCGAACTGCTAAGCTCTCGGGAGTTACACGTATTTGTATTATGTATTACTTTCGTGAGACATACAAAATAAATTATTATTTTCGGCTTACTCACGTAATAATTCGTAATAATTTGAGGAGGACTCGACTAGTTTCAAGCCATGCTAGAGGCTCATATTCGTGAGCAGCATTTCACGACCTGCGACGCGGCGACTGTCTCGCTGCTACTGGCTACTCGAGTCTGGGGGCCCAGCGCGCTCTCTGTCGTGATTCAAGCGCACTTTCCTCTATTCGTGGTATCGATGGCGGCATAACCTCCCCAGGAGCATGAAAAATAATTTGTACCAAGTTTCGTTAAAATCCGTTGAGTAGTTTTTGTTCTATAAGGCACATACAGACATACAGACAGACGGACAGACAGACGGACAGACAGACAGACAGACAGACAGACAGACAGATAGACAGACAGACAGACAAAATATTTACTGACTGCATTTTTGGCATTCATATCGATCACTAATCATTCTCTGATAGTTATTTTGGAAATATATTTCATGTACATACAGAATTGTCCTCTCTATAAATTTATTATAAGTATAGATTATTATACTTAATAAAAGTACATAGTATTTAGCAAAAATGATTCCGTAAAAACTGATAAAAACTGTTTATTGGGTATAATAAAATATCGATTAAATAATCGATTAATTTTTTCATTACTTAACATCCCTACAAAGATTATTTCGTCAGGCAGCTGGCAGATGGCAATATGGCTGTAGCTTTCGAGTTTCGCTGGCAGTGCGCGGTGCTCGCATCATTTCCAGTACTGAAGTAGTATTTCTGACGGCTCTAAAGATTCGTTTTTTAATTTTTTAGTGGTTATTGTCTCTGTTTACCTTAAATTATCTAATGTTTTGTGGCAAAATTACTGTTTTTTCATTTCCGTCGTCACCAGAATTTATTCGACGACAAAATGGCGTCGCTTGACAAGATTTTACTGCAAAATATTTTTTCGCATTTTATACGCTTATCATAAAAATATGCCGGAAAAATTTATTTCAAGTGTTTTCTTAACAATTTTCTTGATGAATTATTCAGTTTTTGTTCGTTTCGGTCGTTAATTATATAAGAAACCGTGTATTCCTTGAATTTACTACAAAATGCACCTGGTAAGTGATTTTAAAGCATATTCCTTTAATGTTTTTGTGTATTTGTTTATTTTGTTATATTTTAAAGGGGTAAAATAATCATGGAACGTTCTAGATGTCTTGGGTGTGGCCCAGAAAAAGGCTGAAATTTTGAGACGTAATACTGAATTTGAGGGTTTTTGTGATTGTTTACAATATATTTTGCTGTTTTTATGTATGAAAACATTCTTGTCCCACGTAAGAAAGTGTTTGCGATGATTCTTTGTTACGTAATCTACCCGTAACATGCAGGGAAAATTATTTTGAGATGGGCCCCTTTTTTACAATTTAGCTTTGAAAATTGGTCTTATTGAGCTTTGCATCTGAAGACACTATCATTTGAGGTTATGTTACTCATTTGTCGTATATTTCTTCATTATTTCTTTGTATAAATTGTGATAATTATATCGTTCTGTATCTGTCCACAAAGACATTCAATTTATTACTTTTTTTGAAAGTTTTGGCTATTTATTGCACCCAAGTGCAATGATTTGAGGTTAACTAGACTGTTGTTTATTTACATTCCATGTTATGCATCTTAGCAGCCAGCCTTAGTGTTAAATAACACTCAATTTTGTTAAGAAAAATGATTTTGTTAAATTAAATAAAAATCATTTTTTTTAGGGGTTGTTCACATTCAAACCCCAACGTTTAGCATTTAGAACAAAAGTTTAGAGGACCCATTTCAAAATACAAACTATACATATTAATAATTTAGTGCAAGCTTTATATTCTTTATATCTAATTTACTAATTTATAATTATTTTTATTTGTAATTGTATAAATGTTTTATTTTGTTGCGGATGTTGTGTACTAAAATTAAATAAGATCATAATGGGACAAATTGGAGTTTTCGGTCTATTTCATTTTGTGTAATCTTTACAGATGGGATTCATGAATGAATCTGGAAGTGATTCAAATAGCGATAAGGGTGAGAAGAGTGATTCTAGTGGATCAGGTTCCGGAAGTGAAAGGTAGGATTAGTATTGCAATTTAGTGCTATTGTTCATGTAGTTTAATTTGTGTTCTTTGCATAATCACCAAAAACCTTTTTTGAACAGTGAAAGCGGATCTAGTTCATCTGGTTCAGGATCAGAAAGGTCTGGTTCTGAAAAATCCTTGGACAGGTCCCATCACAGTGATGACACAAAATCATCACCAAAGCACAGCAATGCTAACTCATCAAAATCTGATCATCATACTGACAAAAACACATCTGATGAAGATTCCCCATCTAAATCTAAATCACGTAATAGCAAGTTAAAATCTGATTTATGGGAAGACAATCCAGACATATATGGAATCAGGAGGTCGGCTAGGTCAAGAAAGGAACCAGATAGACTAAAATTAGCTGATAGTGATTCAAGTGAAAGGGGCAGGACCCACAGTAGAAAAAGTAGAAAAAAAAGGTAGTAAACAGGTATATGAATAACATAGCTATTTATAATTGTGTTCTTGTTTTTAATAAATGTACAATATTTTAGTGCATCATGGAATTCAGACTCGTCAGATAGTGATAGTGACTTGAAAGGTTCCCCACCTCCACCTTCGAAGAGACCAGGCCAAAGAAGTGTACCTCTCAGAAAAAGGAAACCAACACGAAGAAGATTTTCTAGTGATGAGGATGAGAGTTCTGAAGGCAGTGATGATGATACCAAAAGGTAATAATCTTATTTTATCTAGATGTACACTAGCGGTGGCTGCAAACACTACATTTTAAAAATTACAATTTGAATGTAATTTACTGATAGCAAGGTGATATATAGGTAGTACCTACCTGGTTTATTAGTTCCTTTTCACTAAATAACAAAAGTGACATGATACACATTTTCCTATTCTATCAAGTAAATTTACCAAAAAAATATTATATATATACACCATAATTATTAAACAATAGATTGTGCTGATTTGTACTACTATTGTCTTCAACTCACTATTCTTTAGTTTCTTGAAGTTCATGCTTTCTATTGGGAGCTTTGATGGTGTCAGGTTGCATTTTTTGTAAGTAAACTTGAACTGTTTGATTCCTGAATCAAACTTATATTAAGTAGCCAAAACCAAATATATAAACATATATATTTGGTTTTCGAAAGTTCTTCAGAAGACTCTAAAATTGTGCCAGGTGAAATAGCTTAAATAAAATCACTTGTTGGAACTTGATTTGGAATAGTCATTAAGATCATTACATAATTGTTACATTTAATTCCAAATGAATGGAATTACTGATAACATTCTAATTCATACAGTGATTACCCTAATAATAAGAAGTAATTAATATTAATAAAAGATAATTTACAAATGATTGCATAAAAATAGAACATCAATATTTTTTTTTGCAAAAAGGGATGCTTTATAATGCTGAAGCTTGGTAAAGTTAACGCCGAATATTCACCACATTCAGGCCGAATACTCGCAAAATTAAGGCCGAATATTTATGTGGAGGTAGGGAATCAGACATTTGATATTCATAAAATAGTTTGAGTAAAAAGATTATTAATATTGGATTTCACTGTAAATGTGAAGATTGTGAAAACTATAAATAAACATCAAGTTTTCAAATATAGTTTGAATTGGACCTTGTGTAACAGATTATCATAATTATATTCTTGAAAATGGTAGAAATTGTTAGAATCTGCAGCTATGTTTATAAATTTATCTAGCAAATAATCAAAATAAGATCTTGGTGCAAATAGGTATCCAAGGAACAAATTTTATTAAACCAAATCGTGTAAAAACGCGGGTTACTCACGTGAATATACTGAGAAAAGCTCTACTAGTTTCGAACCACAGAGGAGTTCTTCCTCACGAGCAGCGTGCGCGGTCGCGGCGACGTCGCGCAGCTCACTGTCGTCGTCGTCGTTTTTACTTACTTTAATATGTCTCATGATAGTTATTATAAAAACAAACCAAATTGTGGTTATTATTTAGAAATATTTGTTAAACAATTATTTTCTGGATATTTATGTCAAGCCATTTTTATTAAATGTGCTAACAATAACTTAATTACTAAAAAAATGGGGTATCCCTATTTTATAGGCTAATTATATTGATTGGGTTTGAGGTAATGAAAAAAATTGTATTACTTTAATGATATCGAATTATTTCGAATAGTTGCAAAATATCTATCAAGATCCACAAGTTATTTAAGTAATAATGATTTTTTGTCTGCAGAAGATGGCTAGCTTCTAAAGTTCTGCCATGCCCCCCCCCCCCCCCAGGGAGCTAATCAATAGTATAATTGGTCAAAGAGGAGAACAGATGAATAGATTTTATATTGTAAAATTAATTAGAGAATCTATTAAAAGTTGAACATAAAAGCAGTATGCTGCAGCATTACTACATGACTACATTTTTGCGAAAAAAATTCAACTTATTTAGAAAAAATGTACAATTTGCTAGTTGTACATGCTTTCAATGGTAATTGATATTTGCACGTATATCAAATATTACGCCATAAATATGAGACAGCAAAACACAATCCTTATTTGATTGTGACAAAAAACATTGGTTTATTGAGTATTCGGCTTTGAATTACGCTATTAAAGTTTAGTATAAAAAATGGTATGTAGTAAGCTAACAATTTTTTCGGTGCTAATTAATATTCTTACATTGTACCCAATATTGTCTAATATGAGGCACAATCCTTATTTGTTTGTAAAAAAAACATTGGAACATTGAGTATTCGGCTTTCGCCATTCGTCTTTCGGCTTTTTAATTTTCGGATGTTGAAACAGAAAATTATGATTTATAATAAAATATTGCCAATATATTATGAATTTTTAATACTATTTAGCAGTTAAATTATGATCATTCGAAATGTAACATATAAGAAAATATGAAAATAGCTTCAGTCTAAAATAGTGTCGATAGAAACATTCCAAGAATTCCTTTCATAAACCAACACAAAATGGCGTCGTTTTTAATGATTATCGCCGCGTGTACTTGACCGAGATGCTTACGTCTGACGATGACGTCAGAAGCTATTTGTTTGCGTTAGTATGTAAGAGATGTCGCTCGTGTTGATATGTATTGTTGCTTGTTGATATCGTAGGACAGCAACGCGACGAACGGGTGCTGCAGTCAGTTACAAAGAAGCGAGTGATGAACAAACCGACTCGTCTGATCTTTTGGAAGTGGAAGGAGTGGATGGTGAAGCCGAGGCTGAACCAGAACCGGAAGATCATAGTGAGACTATTGAAAAAGTCTTAGGCGTTCGGCGAGGGAAGAAAGGAGGTAGTAATTTTTAACCATTTGTATTATTTGTTTATTTTAATAACATTGCATGAGTTTAATGTATATTTGTTCAATGTTCTGTTATTTTTGCATTTTGGTGCAAATACCTTGTTAAATTTTAGCTAATGTCTTCTTATCATTATGCAGTCACTGGAAATGTGACTACACTTTACTATATAGAGGAGCATGGAGACCCTAATGAAGGCTGTAATCCCGACGATCCTGAAACCACTGAACCTCAGTACCTGATCAAATGGAAAGGCTGGTCCCATATACATAATACATGGGAGTCTGAGAGGTCTCTAAACGAACAAAAGGTCAAAGGTCTTAAGAAATTAGAAAACTATATCAAGAAAGAAGCTGACTTATCGTGGTGGAGGCAGCAGGCAGGTCCTGAGGATATAGATTACTTTGAATGCCAAAACGAGTTGCAACAAGAATTGGTGAAGACCTATAACAATGTGGAGAGGATAATAGGTGATTATTTTATTAATTTATTAAAAATTATTCACTTTGTCTTGTTACATACATGATCTTCTCCCAAACTCAATATTTAAAACCATACAATTTATTAAAAAACATACTATCTACTCCAATCATCAACTATACACATTTTTAACATTGTAATAAAGATAGCATCATAGTATGTATTTATACTTATCAATGTTACAACTGTTCATTTTACTAGCGGAACAAACACGGGAACTGGAAGGCGGCGGAACTGCTCACGAATATTTTTGCAAGTGGGAGTCGCTTCCGTATGCTGATGCTACCTGGGAAGATGCCGTTTTAATAGAAAAGAGATGGCCACAGGAAGTGGAGCATTTTAAATACAGAGAAGCGGCGAAAACGACGCCTTCGAGACATTGTCCTGTGTTGAGGAGAAGGCCGAAGTTTCATCATGTCAAAGAACAGCCAGAATACATGGGCAAAGATGCTGTAAGTATTTTATCTTTTTTATTATTATTATCTGCATATTATTATTATCTGCATATTATCCATAATGTGGTTGATTCAATAAAAGCGAGAATTTCCGAAAATTCTTCAAAGTTTTTAGTCATCTTCTTCAAGCATAATGTCTTATTTTTCAGCATGTTTTGATTCAATATTGTTCCGTGGTGCATTAGCTATTGTGTAACAACGCCATCTACTGGTTCTGTATTGTATTAATATGGTCAGTCGGTTTCCGCGAAGTTCTCGTAACTTTGGTTGGATGTCGCTTTTCAACACCATACTTCCTTTGTGACCATGACCCAGAATACACTATTGGAGTCATGATTACATATTCTATTACTAATTTAATATAATGCTTATAAAAACTTCAAATAAAACACAGATTTTAGCAATATCGAGATAAGATTTTATTTTGACTTTTTGTCTGATACAGATGTACCATTTATATTCAAGAAATGACTTTCTTTTAGTTTAAATCACGTTGTAGGCTATTATTGACTACAGATTTATTCGTTACAGAGCTTTACATTGAGAGATTATCAGATGGATGGATTGAATTGGTTAATACATTCCTGGTGTAAAGACAATTCCGTTATTCTTGCCGATGAAATGGGTTTAGGTAAAACTATACAGGTATGTTTATATCTTATTTGATAACAATTGAGTAAGTCTTTTACATAATTAAATATGACTTTATTTATGATTTATTCAAATTCTTTCAGACAATTTGTTTCCTATACTACCTCTTCAAATCACAACAGCTTTATGGACCATTCCTATGTGTCGTGCCTTTAAGTACAATGACAGCGTGGCAAAGAGAGTTTGAGCAGTGGGCGCCTGATATTAACGTTGTGACTTATATTGGTGATCTCTCCAGTAGAGATATTGTAAGTAAACAGTTTTTCAAATTGTAGCATCATCTAACTAAAATATTTAATGAAAAAAATTATGAACATCTATAAAACTTTTTCAGATCAGACAATTTGAATGGAGTTTTGCAAGTTCGAAAAGACTGAAATTCAATGCCATCTTAACCACTTATGAGATTCTACTTAAAGATAGACAGTTCCTGAGGTCGTTTAGTTGGGCGTGTCTGTTGGTTGATGAAGCTCATAGGTTGAAGAACGATGATTCTTTATTGTATAAAGCACTCAAGGAATTTGATACCAATCATCGGTTATTGGTGACTGGCACTCCATTACAGAATTCTCTGAAAGAATTATGGGCCTTATTGCATTTTATTATGCCTTACAAGTAAGTAGATTATCAACTATCCATTAGTTTATAAATTAAAATGAAGCAGTTTTAGACAATGTTAAAATAATACATTACTCTCCAGGTTTGAATCTTGGGAAGATTTTGAGAAGGATCATGAAGATGCTGCCACCAAGGGTTATGAAAAATTGCACAAGCAATTAGAACCTTTCATATTAAGGAGGCAGAAAAAGGATGTAGAAAAGTCATTACCTGCTAAAGTAGAACAAATACTTAGGGTAGAAATGACTTCAATTCAAAAGCAATATTATAAGTGGATCCTAACCAAAAATTATAGTGCCCTCAGGAAGGGTGTGAAGGGGTCTATAAACACATTCATTAATATAGTTATTGAGTTAAAGAAGTGTTGTAACCATGCCTTATTAACCAAGCCTGAAGATTTTGAATCTAGGGCATCACTTGCGACAACTGATGCTGTAGAGGTATGTACTTCATGTAACATACACATATTATGAAGAATAAAGTCATGCAGTAATACCTAAATGTAATTTTTTTACGAAAATAATGTTAATCTTTTTATTTCAGAAATTATTGAGAGGTTCGGGAAAATTACTCCTATTAGATAAGCTATTATGTAGGTTAAAAGAAACAGGTCACAGAGTCCTTATATTTTCTCAAATGGTTAGAATGTTGGACATTTTAGCTGAATATTTACAAAGGAGACATTTTCCATTTCAACGTCTCGATGGTAGTATAAAAGGTGAAATTAGGAAGCAAGCCTTAGATCACTTCAATGCTGAAGGATCTACTGATTTCTGCTTTCTTTTATCGACACGTGCCGGCGGCCTGGGTATCAACTTAGCCACTGCCGACACTGTAATCATATTTGACTCTGATTGGAATCCACAAAATGATTTACAAGCTCAAGCACGAGCACATCGTATCGGACAAAAAAATCAGGTAACTATTTATTACTGTCCCATAGAAGCCATTTAGTGCTGTGTCAAATTAAATTGAAATTAAACATTTTCTTCTCCTATTCTAGGTTAACATTTATAGATTAGTAACTGCTAGATCTGTAGAAGAAGACATTGTTGAAAGAGCAAAAAGAAAAATGGTGCTTGATCATCTAGTTATCCAGAGAATGGACACTACTGGCCGGACGGTTCTCAACAAGCGAGATGCGTCGGCAACCAGCGCTAACAATCCATTCAATAAAGAAGATTTGAATGCGATATTGAAATTTGGTGCTGAAGAGTTATTCAAAGATGATGATGAAAATGATGAGGATCCTGTCGTAAGTATAATAAAATAAATAATAACTAGATGGAAGTAACTACACTATTGTACAATCATGTGTTTATTTCAACCAAATTTTGTTACATTTTAGTGTGATATTGACGAAATCTTGCAACGAGCCGAGACTCGTGATGAGGGTCCCTCTATGGCGGGTGATGAATTGCTCTCAGCATTCAAAGTAGCCAGTTTTGCCTTTGATGAAGATAAAGCTGTAATGGAAGTCAAAAAGGAAAATGCAGAAGAGGAGAGCAAAGATTGGGTATGTTGATTTTACTGATTGCAAAACTTGTAATAAATATTTATTTTCAAAATCATAATTATTAATATTCACTGTACATTTTTTAGGATGATATTATACCTGAAAATGTTCGGAAAACAATAGCTGAACAGGAGAAAAATAAAGAAATGGAAGACCTATACTTGCCTCCTAGGAGAAAGAATCTGCAATCTAATAACGATACTAGTGGTAAGTGATTATAAACAATACATTTACACATTGGTTCTCGAAATCCTTTTTTTATTCACCTAGTTAACACCATGTTCTTATTTGTATTTGTATGGTAAAAAGTATACTAAGATTTAACTAATTAATTTCGTTTTATGTAGCTGAAGGTCGTAAGCGTCGTGGTCGTGGTTCGGCAGAAGGCGGTGATGGCGCCGACCTAGATGGTGACGCTGAGAGTGATGGATCCGATGGAGGTTCTGATGATGACCGGCCACGCAAGAGAGGAAGACCTCCAGCATCACACAGAGAGAAGATCAAAGGGTTCACTGATCAAGAGGTATGTTACCTTCATTTCTAAGTTCTTGGTAAATTTGCTCTAATTCAAATTTTACTGAATATCATTCAAATTCAATATTATTTTGACGATTAAAGCAGTAAAATGTTCTATTTCTATAGTATCCCTATTATCATTTGTTATTCAATGTTCTCCTATAAAATTACAGATTAGAAGATTTGTTAAGAGTTTCAAGAAGTTTTCGGCGCCACTGAAGCATCTTGATAGCATAGCGTGTGATGCAGAACTGCAAGAAAAACCTCTGGCAGAACTCAAAAAACTGGGAGAAATTCTACAAGAAAGATGTAAGGCGGTGCTAAATGAAACGGCAGATACAGCAAGTAAGTTAAATAATTTATTGAAGTGTTTTCTTTAGTCCAAAGGTGTGTCTAATTTTTAATTTTGTATTACTTTACTCAGAAATTAAACTAGATTTGTCATGCTGCTTGTAATTTCTTTTCATATTAGGTGAATTTCCATTCTAACGATTATTTTAAATTATATTTCTGTGCCTTGCAGACGAACAAACAGAGGGCCGCAAAAATGCAAGAAAGACATTCAAACTCGGTGGAGTTCCTGTCAATGCCAAAACGATGGCCGCCTGCCAGGATGAACTTGCGGCGCTGGACGTCTTCTTGCCCGACACTAAAGAAGAGAGGTTAAAGTGGCAATTAGATTTCAGGTATGTCATAAAGCTATAGTTGATTCGGAATATTATCTACTAGCGACCCGCCCCGGCTTCGCACGGGTGCAATATGCATGTATTATACATACAAACCTTCCTTAAGAATCACTATCTATTAAAAAAAACCGCATCAAAATCCGTTGCGTAGTTTTAAAGATCTAAGCATACATACGGACATACAGCGAAAGCGTTTTATACTATGTATTGATGTAACATGTTTAATAAATACAAGAGGGATAAATATTTTTTTATTTAATTTCCAGGACAAGACCAGCTAACTTTGACGTTGAATGGAGTGTAGCAGATGACTCAAAATTACTGGCAGGAATATACCAATACGGTATGGGTTCATGGGAAGCTATAAAAATGGATTCATCATTTGAGATTGGAGACAAAATACTCACTAACGAAGATAAGAAACCTCAGGCAAAACATTTACAATCACGCGCCGAGTATTTATTGAAACTAATTAAGAAATTGTTAGACCAGAAGAATGGCAAGCAAAAACAGAGGAAGCCTCGGACTAAACGGGGTCAGAAAGAGCCAGTTACTAAAGACATAGTGGAAGATGATGGTAGCTCTCCAGATGAGAATAAGAAAAATAATAAGACTGGTAAAAATGATAAACAGGATAAGGTATGTAGTAAATTAACTACATTGAAAATTATATCGAATAATAATTATAACCCATTCTGTGGTATTAATCATAAATAATCTAATCTTTTTCAGAATAAATCGAAGTTAGATGATATTTTGACACATGATGAAGCTTCAAATGATAGGAAAGATAGAGATAAAAAACGCACAAAGAGAGACAGCAACAGAAAATCTGACAAATTAAAACCTCGGAATAAGAAACCTGCTGGTCCCATGCATTTTACAGCTAACAATGAGCCAAGAGCATTGGAGGTTCTTGGTGACCTTGACCCATCAGTTTTTGAAGAGGTAAGTCACGGAAGTACTATTATTGCTCATTATTATTTTCAATGAAATTTTCTGATCCAAATTGTTGAGTCCTTATTTAATATTATGTCCATTTTAATTTTTCAGTGCAAAGAAAAGATGAGGCCTGTCAAAAAGGCCTTACGAGCTCTAGACAATCCAGATCAAACATTGTCGGAAGCTGATCAAGTTGCTAGAACGAGAGCTTGTCTAACGCAAATAGGAAACCAAATAGACATATGTGTAGATGCATATCCTGATCCTGAAAAGAAAGTAGAGTGGAGAAGTAATCTCTGGTATTTTGTGTCGAAATTCACAAACTTTGACGCAAAGCAGCTTTATAGGTTATATAAATATGGACTGAAGAAAAATGAATCGTCTAGTAAGAAAGATGGCAAACATAAAGAAAATGTTAAGGTTAGTATTAACTACCAATAATGATTAGAATAGCATCATTAATTTTGTATTTTTGTTCATGTTTTTGTTTTTATTGCAGAATAATAAGAATAATCACAATAGTAATCATGTAAAATCCTATAAAAAAGATGGAAAAGCAGATAATGCAAACGATAAAAAAGAGAAGAGGCCTAAAACAGATCGCGATAAAATAGACAAACTAAACGACAAAACTCCACATACTTCTGGCATTAAGAGAAAGTTAGAAGAAGGAGAGTGTGACCCGGAACCTAACGAAAATAAACGTCACGAAAGGTAAATTTTGATTGATTTTGAGACATTACTAACATTCTTGTATAGTAGTCTACCCATCACCACTCTCACCTGCTTCCTCATGTACCATTCTTGTAATAATATGCTATTTTCATAATAATATAATTCATCAAATTGCTAACCTCTCCTGTGTCGCTCACCACCATTATCGCTTTGTCCATCCCTGCAGACATAAACACAAGCACAAGGATCGCAAGGATAGGGATAGGAGCAGGAGCCTGAAGCGGGACGATTTGATGTACAGAGAGCGGAGCCGGACGGAGCGGGAGCGGGAGCGAGACCGCGACAGGGAGCGCGACCGAGACCGGGACCGAGAGCGCGAGCGGGACCGCGACCGAGACCGTGAGCGATCTCGTACGCGTCGCGACAGTGGCGGCCTGGGCAGCGCGCGCTCGCGCCCGCCCTACTCCATGGCGCACCCGCACCCCGAGCACCCGGCGCACCCCGCCTGGACGCCGCCCGCCTACCCCGGCCCGCGCCAGTACCGCACGGACCGCACTCCGCGTCCTCACGACAAGAGGAGGTAAAGATTTCTACTGGCTTATAACCCAGCAACAGACTTTCTGTTTCCTGTGGTTCGACCTTTTGCACTTTTATAAAATACTTCAGATAACTGTATTATGTAGTGTTATGATCGTCAGCGGCGATGCATACGATGGGTTGTGCAGCCGCACAAATATGTAAAAAAAAAATATCTTTTTTCCTCGTGACTAAGTTATAGATAGCATAATATTTTGAAGAAAATCATAAGCTGGTTATAAAGTGAAAGATCATATTATATGAAGGCAGCTGATAGCATAAATGTTAAAAAGTTGTGCACCTTTCTAAATTCTAATAGCAAAAAATACTGCACTACAGGATCACCATATATTGCTATTGGAATTTACTAAGGCGGCAATTGGTACATATTTGTGGACGTCTTATTCTAACCCCTCATTTTATAAACGGCTGACGATTTCCTTTCTTTCAAAAAATATTTTTTAAACAAGAGGTAACAAAAATTAAAATTTTATTTCACAATTGTTTGGGCGACTACAGCTGCACGATCCACCGTGTATATCGCAGCTGAGGTTGTTAACGCTTCACCCAGCACACTGAAGAATTTTTAAAGTTATTAACATAATTGAAATAAGTGAGAAAAATTTGTACCTGGCTTTATGGGCTATTAATTATTATCCCCGATTAAGTTTCTAATCAGTACCTTGTCTGTTTCTAGCAGGTACAGCAGCTTCGGTGCAGTGCCGGGCCCATACAGCGCTTACTATGACAGCGCTAGTATGCCGGGGAGTATGGGCTTCCCGCCAGTGCGGCCGTACCCGGACGAGTGGCGTGGGTACACGCAAGCTGAGTACGCGTACGATGAGCGGGACTACGAGCGGGAGGTGTACCGGAGAGATTACGATCGCCGCGCACCTCCCACGTAAAGTTTCGGTTCCGTCTCCTGTAAATAACTCTGTATTTGTAAATAATAGACTAGAAATCTCTTGTCGAGAATGCTGGTTTAACCGTGAAGTGTAAAGTTTAAGTGACAAAAAGTGCTGTGGTTTTTATCTATGTGATAAGCGAAAGCGCATCGATATAAAATGAGACATTAATAGTGACATTTTATAAGTAAGACTGTATAGTAAATTTAATTTATTGCCGAATCTGTCTATTGTTAGTGTACAGAATTTAGAAAGAAATACCATTAATTTTTATAATGTTCCAATTTAGTCGCAGTCGTAATGTTTTATAATGTCTAATCCAATTATCTATTTATTTGATGCCTCATAATATCATGATTTTATCTATTTATTTGATGCTGTATCATGATTTTATGTAATAAATTAATGACAGAAAGAAGTGATATAAATAGGTCGTAGCAAATGTACAAAATTTAGCAATTGTTAGTAGGTTTGCATGTAATTAAAAATCATGTGCAATTTCAATAAATTGTGTATTATAGCTTAGCAGAAAAGGGCACATATTGTCATTGCATTTTAGCAGTGGACAGGAAGGAGTTTTAATTTGTAAATTCATTTCTCATTTTGCGTGCATTTCCGAGTCTAGTTGTGACTCGTACAATCCTATTTTTATACCATTATGTAAAGTCTTATTCTCTGTTACATGCAATTGTGAATGTAATAAGAGGGAAAACGTCTTAAATGGTTATATACCATGATAATAAATAAACATATTAAAGTTGAAACCTGTTTTTTCTTTAATGTTCCACAAAAATATTCGATTAAAGGTATTAATGATTAATTTTATAAAAGGGCCTATTCAAAGTCAAGGTCGTTTCAACCCTATCCCTCAATCAGGAAATGTCTTTTTCGTTACTATATTTGCTAAGATTTGGAGATATCTCAATATTTTCAAATTGTATAGGACAAGACCAGCCTAAGTTCTCAAACTCCTAATCCCCAAAAAGCCGGTAACGCACTTGTAACGCCTCTGGTGTTCCAGGTGTACATGGGCGACGCCGATTGCTTACCATCAGGTGATCCGTCTGCTCGTTTACTGGCTTATACCATGTAATCCTATCACCAAAAATTATCTGCTTAGATGACCTGATCAACAAATTGTTTATTGTTCTTTACCGTTGTGATGATGCGAGCTCAGCCCTCGGTTAAGCTTGAGACAGTCGTTGCTTCTAGTTCGCCATGAGATAGCGCCGGAACTCATCCCGTTATATAGGTACGGAGTTTAGTCTGGACGCGCTCATCCCGTTATATAAGTACGGAGTTTAGTCGACGCGCCTCATTGTGCAAATTCCAGACGCGTGCGAGCACCTTGGCCTCCTGTGGCGGTAATCCACAATAATGGCAATCCGGTAAAAATATGGCTCCGGTTACGCCTACAAACCGGTAATTTCATATGAGACCCAGATTCGGAACAACAATTTGTGGTGTGGATTCCACATGGTTACCCAACCACCCTGCGCTGTTATCAAAATAGCCTGGAAAGCTACCTACTTGTCATCTACTAAGTTATGTGCTGCATAAGTCATTAACGTTAACGACGAATATTCACATGTAGGTAGTGTGTGCACAATATCGACCATAACTTATTGGATAAGAAGCCAAAAAATGTTCCTAATGATAGTAGGTAGGTAAAGCCAAATCTACCGACATACACTTATAAGCAGAGATTAATATAAGTACTGCTCATAAGATTAGTTTTGCCGTTTTGCTTCACTCTTCAGCCCTATATAGGAAAATGAGAATGAGAACAGCTACTTAAAAAAATAATCACACCTATACTAATGTAGTAGTGTTACTTTTGTATGATCATCGAAATTCTAAAGCTACGTACGTACCTACAACTGTGTATTTGGAGGTTCCAGTTATTGACTAGGTGCCTAAAAGTCCGGTTACATTAATCCCTTTCCCAATGGCCGTACTGCAGTGCGCATGCCCGCTAGAGTTCATTCAGACAAGTGCTTCATTCCAGCCTCAGTAAGTCAGTACTTCTCCGTCGATTGGGGGGACATCGCGTTTATCATGAAGATTGGTCTGCAAAAGAAAAACATTACTTTTTTTTAGTATTTGTTGATACGTAACCGTGTTTTTACTCCGTGATCCGGTTTAAAATAACATGCGAAAGAAAAATTTTAGGTGAGTTAGTTTAAACCCTGTCGAAAGGTTCATTTTGATATGAAAACCTAATTAAGTTTACTTGTAAATATAAGCAAACCCGAATGTTATTATTGATCGTGAGATATTGAATTACAAATAAATTATTAATGCATTCTGCAGATAGTAGATAACCCTGCGACCATTATCAAAGGAATGAGTGTGTGCTTGTATGTTTTCGTAGAAAAAAGTGCAATGCGAATATATGATGTGTAATGGTGGAAACAAGGAGGGCCAAGTGCGGCGAGCCTGTCGGACAATGGTGAGCGTGACACTGCTGCCACTCTTGGTGCTGGTGGCTGCTGCTGATTGCTGTTATCTTTTCCCCAGCGGTAAGCATGCTGATAATTAGACAGCTTAACAAAATATCTTCGAAGATTCTACCGTTTTCCTCTTGACTTCCTGTGCATAATTCAGTCATTTATTTCGCATTTTGACAAAAGTAAATTATCTTATACCTTAGAGTCACATACCTATGTATGATAACTTGTGATATTGCATAATGGTCTGACGTTGTGGTGTTCAGACGTTCCGGATCCGTGTCGTGGTGTGATTTGCGGGCCGGGTGCGCTGTGCCGGCCCACGCCCGATGGCCGCGCGTACAATTGCGAGTGCCCCACGTCGTGCCCCAGCTACGGCGACCACGAGGGCTCCAGACCACTCTGCGCAAGCGACGCCCGAGACTATCCTGGCGACTGTGAGATGCGCAGAGCTGCCTGCGAATCAAATACAAATATAACTTTCAAGTATTACGGTAAATGCGGTAAGTACTGGATTTGAGAGCTCCCATTTTTTTATTCCATACCAGATGATGTTAATGCAGCGAGAATTCGCTAGTGGTAAACCATTGGATACTTATTCAATTAATGACAGTTACAGTGATTTGAGCATTGATAGATACCTTGTCTTTAGATCCTTGCTCTGGAGTGACGTGTCCAGACCCTGAAGTGTGTCAGCTGGACGACCGACGGTCTCCATCCTGCCGTTGTGCGGAACCCTGTCCCCTCGAGTTCTCTCCAGTCTGCGCCTCCGACGGGAAAACCTATTCAAACGAGTGTCAGATGCATCGAGAGTCCTGTCGAGCAAGAAAGCAATTGAAGATTATATTTAAAGGACAGTGCAGTTCTGGTAAGTGAAGAAAAACCAGTAGGTGTTTTCTAGTCGCACGTATCATACCAAGTACAAACGCGATCACCTAACAACGGAATATTTTTCAATGGCACCGTACATTATAAATATTATAACAGACAAGAAAATGTTAAGTATGGTTTGGAGTCTATGAAACAAAATAAATACATTTTTCCAGGTGTAAACCCTTGTGCCGAGGTGGAGTGTAGGCACGGCGCGGAGTGTCGCGTTGAGGGAGGTGGTGCGGTGTGTGCCTGTCCACCACCCTGTGAGCCTGTCCTACGGCCCGTTTGCGGCTCGGACTCACGCACTCACGACAGCGAGTGTGAACTGAGGAGAGCTGCCTGTCTACTGGGAAGGGAGCTCAGGGTACTCCACGCAGGAGCTTGTGGTGAGATATAACATTAAATAATTGTTCTTAACACCATATAATATACCAATAGGTAATTCTTCGATCTTCTTTGTTTAGAGTTGTATAATGGAAATGCAAAGTCACTTTTCGAGCGCAGTGATTTATTCCCCAACGATGGAACCAGAACGGAGGTTTAGCAGTGGAAATTTTCTGAGCAACGATGATGTTGAATGTCAAATTTATTGAAGTACTTAAAGCAGTTCTGACGGATACCAAAAGAGTATTTCAAACTTATTATTACTATCGATGAATTCAGGTTCCAACGGTGTATGTGCTGACCGCGTGTGTCCTCACGGCGGAGAGTGCGTGGCGACGGGCGGGCGCGGTGTGTGTCGGTGTCCACGTTGCTCCAACGAGTTTGCGCCCGTTTGCGGCTCGGACGGGATCTCGTACGGCAACCGTTGCAAGCTGCAACTAGAGGCCTGTCGACATCGGCGAGACGTACAGGTGCTGTACGACGGACCCTGCAGTGAGTAAACATTTTGCTATCACAATTATTTTCTTTGGAACACTGCGTCTATTGCTCAAATGATAAAACACGATGGCGGTTGCCACACATTCAATTTCCAAGTTCTATAGGATAAAATAATGTATCCACCTACCTTTGTGAAAAAGAGTGGCTTTTGGACAATCGATTTAAAGTTAATTTTGATATTCCCCTGCCTCTACAGACGGGTGTGAAAACAAGAAGTGCGAGTTCTACGCGGTCTGTGAAAGCGACGGGGTCTCTGAAGCGAGCTGCGTCTGTCCTAAGCATTGCGAAGAAGGAACTGTCAGTATACATTTATCTACATAACTAGTGACCCGCCCCGGCTTCGCACGGGTGCAATATGCATGTATTATACATACAAACCTTCCTTAAGAATCACTCTATCTATTAAAAACAACCGCATCAAAATCCGTTGCGTGGTTTTAAAGATCTAAGCATACATACGGACATACAGCGAAAGCGACTTTGTTTTATACTATGTATTGATGTACATATGAACATAACAAACAGTACCTAACAGTGGGGAATATAGTAAGTACCTAACGAGTTGAGATTATGAAATATCTTCATACATGGGACTTAATTTTTCAGGAAACGGAGGAAGTTTGTGGGACAGATAATAAAACGTACAGTAGCGTGTGCGCACTGCGTGATACCGCTTGCAAGGAGAAGAGGCGAATTCATATCAAGCACATGGGATCCTGTGGTAAGCGACTTCTACATGAGATAAACTGCTAAAGTCTACATTTACATTTCTGTTAGAAGTGCCCAAGAAACCTAGGTCTATAAAAACGTTTCTCTTCCTACGACCAGTTGAATGTCAGCTGCGTATTGTCAAGTAGTTACTCGGTAAAAAAAGAGTTGTGGTATACCACATACAGCGGCTAGGAGCTCAACCTACTCCTTTCTGTTATTTTTCAATCTTTAACTGTATTGTTTTGAGTTAAAGTCGAAATTCAATTAAGACGTGTACAGATTACGGTAGTTTGAACTGCTGACCATTGTACATCACCAATCTATTTTGTGTTTAGAATCGTGTGCGGAGATCGTGTGTCCAGCGGGTACATGGTGTGCCCGGGGCACTTGTGGGTGTCAGGCAGCCTGCGCTGAGGCAGCTCGAGAGCCTGTCTGTGGAGACAACAGGAGGACGTATCCTCACCACTGTGCACTGAGGCGGAGTGCCTGCGAAGCTAAGGCGCGAGGTGAACCGCCACCTCGAGTCGCATACTACGGCGAGTGTACGGAACAAGACGAGAATAATACTGCAGGTACAACTGACTAGTGATATAAGTTGGTGAAAACCTAATATTACACTTTTAAACATACCCCTAACACCTGCTACCCACCTATTCCCTATCTATGACATGGAAATCATTATAAAAATAGCGAAAAGTAGGTACCTATGTAGCATTAGTATGAACAGCTCTACTTATTTCTGTAGTTAGCTTAATAAAAGTCGTGAAAGTGATATAATAAAAAATATTCTTATTTATCATCTGCACACAGACGGTAACAGATCATCGAAGTACACAGACTTGAGCAACGAGATCCGCGCGGGAGATGAGAACGAGAACTCTAGCGAAGCTGTGACCGGTACGGCGGTGTGCGCGCGAGTGCAATGCGCGTACGAAGCTACGTGCGCTGTCGACTCCAATGGACAACCCAGGTTAACCACAAACATAAGAGCATTGTTATCTTACTGACTAAAAACCATCCCGTTCCTACTCCTGCCCTTCAAGCCGGAGCCGGTCACGGCAACCCCTAAAGTCCTCCGCGGCTAATATGAATAGGGACCTGTTTTATAATGTTTGGATAACCGCAATGTATCAGTAAAATAAATATTTAAGAACGTAATTTATATGAACTATCATATCATTTAACTATTTGTAGGTCTTATATGAAGGCGATGAAACAGGCTCTTAATCTAAAAAGAAAAATAAACGTTCCCTAATATAATATTGTCTCCTATGACAGTAGGTACTTATTAGCTTACGTTGTGTATATTTTTTAATATATCTGGGAACGACCAAAATTAATTAGTAGGTATACAGTTCAAAAATATTTAAAACAATATCTATTTATATGCCTTAGATGCGCATGTCTGTTTGATTGCGCGGCCGCAGCTGCAGCAGCTACATCCTCGGCTCCAGTGTGCGCGTCCGACCTGAGGCTGTACCCAACTTTATGCCATATGAAGTTGGAAGCGTGCAGAAGACAGGAAGATCTCAGGTTACGACCACTGCCTGTATGCAGAGGGTTAGAGGTATGTATTTAATAACTTAATAAAATAATAAATAAATAAATAAAAATCGTTTATTAATAACAAAATCTTCCAATATGTTGTCCAATGTTTACATTATTTAACAATTATGGTAATAATATAAACACATTATCATTTAAGCGACTTCCTTTAAAAGTTTAATATAATCTATGATAAAAATTAAACTGAGCACAAATTAGGTACCTACTTAGTATTTTCCAAGGGGTACGAAAAAGTTAACCTTTTTTCAATGTTTTTTTTATATACAAAAAACTTTTTATTCACTAGTTGCCAGGTCTTTTTTAAGGAGACCCGCGCAACACAGCGGCAACGAGACCTTACAACGATATTTTCGTGTGGTGACAGTATAAATAACATTGCCTAAAATGTACGATTTACTGTGCAGTTTTATCTATGAACCGTTAAATCGTAGGTCCATACAACGAGACAGCCTCACACCTTCAGTTAAAATTGTATAGTTCAACTGTTTGCTGGCGTTCAAGTCGTGTAGTGTAGTGTTTAAGGGACTGCACAATATATATGAACATTTTACAGAGGCCGGGATTTCTAATAAACCTCCTTATGTAAGAGAAGAGACTCGTAGTCCAGCTGTGGACTATCGAATTCACAAGTTTCAATTAGTATTTCATTCTTCACAGTTCAGGCCTTGTGGTGATGATGAGCCACTGACAGACGCTGAAGGCAGACCCATCGATTGCGGCGGTGGTCCTCATAGGAAGGATTGTCCAGTCGGTAGCTACTGCCATCACACTGCCAAAGCTGCTCGATGCTGCAGGAAAGGTGACTTTATTTGTTTTGATAATAAAGCATTTTTTATTATAGTTGTCAGATTTTTTGTTGGCAAATGTTAAAAGGTTTAAAATTATCCGATTTGTTAAGATTTAGTAGTATAATCTCGAATACCGAATATAATTAAGAATGTCAATAAGAACGACAACTACGCGGTAACAGGTAACTCACAAACTGAAGTGGATTATCAATACTTCTATCGACAAGGATTTAGAAAAACTTGCAATACCTAAGGCCCGGTATCCACCAAAGCGGAGAGGAGAGGAGACGAGAAGAGATATGTTTGAATAAACCAATCCGATTTCGTTATTCCCACATCTCTTCACCGCTTAGCTTTGCTGGTAATGGGTCAAGCGGAGAGGAGAGGAGATGTCACATTTTTCTATAGAATTTTGTGCAGCGAGCGAGCAAGCGGCGGAGCGGAGAAGTATCTAATCGGGCGGCCGGACTGCGCAGCGCACGCGCTCGTAGACAGAACTTGACTGTTTTCGATGTCTCACAGCTCTGGCGGTAATATCCGCTTTGGTAATAACCTGCCAGCTTCGCGGCACATCTCCTCTCGTCTCCTCTCTTCTCCGCTTTGGTGGATACTGGGCCTAATCAAGAATACATTACACATCTACGATAGAACTAATTGTAACTAATGACACTCATTTACAAACATACATGTAAAAGAAACAGATTCAAGCGCATGTAGATTTTATCTTAATTAAATCGATGCGCATTTGTTTGGTGGCGAATGCCGCCGAGTGAAAAACGAACAATATACCGAACAGAAAGTACACAAAGCAAACAGAGGCACCGCTAGTAGTATTGTTTGCATAATTTATTAAGAAAGTTGCATTGCCCAAGACAAATAACGAGCTATTTACATATTTACCTGATCTATTTATGGTAGGTGAAGTGAAAGATGTTAGGTTGGTACTGATCGTGGCAGTGGCGGTGTAGAAATCACACATCTATAATGAACGTACGTTGCGATTTCATTAGAGAAGATTGACGTTTCAATTTTTAGATGTATAATGGTGTAAGTAGTTAGAACTTTGTTAGCATAGAAATATGGTCTAACCAATAATAATGGCTATGTTCGATTGTTTAACCAATTTAACTATGACAGAAAAAGACGGCGCGGTTTGTTTAGCCATATCTCAATTTTATTAGTTTATATCTTTATTTATATAATTCTTCTGTGAGTGTGTATGTCACTGAACTTCTCTCAAACGACTGCACCGATTTTGATGAAATTGTTTGTGTGTGTTCAAGGGGATCTGGGAATGGTTTAGATTCACAAATCACCCAGGCAGATGGCGCTGCAGTCGATGTTTAGGTTATCTATCCTAAACAGCAGAACTAATTTGAATGAATTTTTGTTTATACATTCAAGTGGATATGCAGGACAACGTCTGTTGGCTCCGCTAGTTTATTTATAATTTACAACAATATAGACTAACAGTATTATATCTTCCAAATCGTCTACATGTCACTAAATATACAATGAAAATATTTATCTACATATAATTAAAATAAGCCACAACAATGAGATTAAATACAGTTAAATATTTAAGTAATAAAATAATAAAAAGTTTGGTATTGATTTTAATCTTTCAATGAATATGTTGAAAATCATCATCATGATTGGTAACACATATTTTTATCTATTTTAAAAATATATTTCTGTCACAGATAAAGCAGTTGTTGAGAAGAAAGGTTGCCAGGAGTCTTGGCACGGTTGCTGTGCTGACGGTGTGACGCCGGCTCGAGGGCCGGGCGGTGCCGGATGTCCAGCCGTATGCGGCTGTCACCGGCTCGGGTCCGTTAATGAACAATGTGATGAAGAAGGACAATGTGCCTGCCGTCCCGGTGTGGGTGGTCAGAAATGTGACCGTTGCGAACCTGGTTATTGGGGGCTTCCTAGAATCGGCACCGGGCATACTGGTTGCATACGTAAGTGATGTGAATTATGCAGTTGTTGATTGTCGGTGGCTTTAGAATTTTAATTGGCTACTTCAATATATTGCTAAGTTACCAATTTGCCTCGTTGGTCGAGTGGTCGCAAGTGCTACTGCCGGGCAAGGGGTCTCGGGTTCGATTTCCGGGTCGGGCAAAGTATAACTGGGATTTAAAAAAATCTCAGTAGTAGCACGGAGTCTGGAATTGTGCCCGGTATATGGCAATAGGCTCACCTCACATAAATAGTGAAAAGTGGGTGATAGATTGTACAGTGGCGTAATGTACACCTCTGCGTACCCCTTCGGGGATAAAAGGCGTGATGTTATGTTATGTTACAAATTTTAACATTTTGTTGGATGTAGGACCAATAAGAACGACTACTACCTCAGGACCATTTTGACGAGAACAAATTAGTACTACTTTGACGAATGTTTATGGAGACAGTCTAATTTAAATTCAGTAGTTATCTAGTTTGATGGATAATTTAGAATCCAGAATTAAAACATTTTCATTGTTTCAGCTTGCGGTTGCTCTGCGTTCGGATCAGTGCGGGAGGATTGCGAACAGATGACAGGTCGATGTGTTTGCAAGCCAGGCATACAAGGACAGAAGTGCACCGTCTGCTCCAACCACGAGCATACACTGGGACCTAATGGCTGTTTTGATCGTGAGTATTTATTTCTTTAATATCAATCGTCGCATTGATGCTGAATGGTAAAAGATATGAACGAGTAAATAAAACTAAAACACGTGTACATACATCGATTTTCATATTAATACTTGATCAACAGCGGAATCTACACAACTGCCGGCAACCAACTGCGACCACATGACGTGTTACTTCGGCGCGCACTGCGCGGTGCGCGGCGGGCTGGCCGCGTGCGACTGTGGCAGCTCCGAGTGTCCGCCGGCCGACGGGCCCTCCGTCTGCGGCAGCGACGGCCGCACCTACCTCTCTGCTTGCCACCTGCGCACGCACGCCTGCAGGACCCAGTCCGACGTCGTCGTGCAAGCCTTCGGGCCCTGCAGCGAGGAGGCACCCCACGTGCGCCGAGGTAGTCGCGCCAGTAGGTCCAACCGCTCGTCCCTCACTCGGCAGAATAGTGACCTCCACACCAACACGCACGTGGACCCCGACAAAACATCGCTCAAAGACTTCGAGTATATCAAACAAAGCCCCAACTCACTGCAGTTTACTGACGCTTCCGTAGACACCAGTGATAGCGGCAAACCCGACAGTCCTGAACCCGAGCTCACCTGTATTGACATACTCCCGCCAATTGGATATCGCTAAAGTTGTAAGCTAGAAATGTTGTAGAAATCATTTTATAGTAGAATATTTGATTTATAATAAAAAGTCAGATTTAATATCCTTCAATTGATAATTCGCAGAAAAAATATACACGCATTCTAGTAATGTTATAGAGAATAACGTCGAAGGGAACTGTGCCAAATCTGGTAAAGATAACAGCCAGCCTATCGTTGACGATGTTGAAGAAGAATTTGAGTCGAATGAAGTGGATGATTATTCAATGTATGAAGAATATTTAGAGGAAAACAACCGCGACATGTATGAAGTACCATTGTTTGATGGGCAAGCGAGACTGACGGCGCGCGCGAGGTTTCCTGCTAAGCGGTTCGACATTTGGGCTGAGGTTTCAGCCGTTTGCGGTAGAGGCGCATTAGTGAGTGCTTCCGGTACGAGGGACCATTTGTGGCTTGGGTTTGTGGACGATAGGGCCGTGTTACGGTGGGACGCCGGCAGTGGGCCATTTGAGTTGCACACCGGAAAGGTTAGAATTGATGGGAAATCCAAAGTATCTGCAAGGAGGTATAAGAAGGACGGAGTATTGAAGCTTGGGTCTTCGGTGGCGAGAGGATCTTCACATGGACGAATGAGTTCGTTGGATGTGGATCCCTACATCTACATCGGTCATCCTCCGGAGAATGTTACAAAGTTAGCACTGTTTGCATTTATGAACAATTATTTTTGTGAAAAGGTAGTTATTTTATTTAGTTACTTGGTGCAGATTGTCAGGAGCGTCAGGTATTCAAGGCTTCGTGGGTTGCATACACCGGCTGCGTGTGAGTGGACGTGACCTGATCCCTCCATCCAGAGGCCTGACCTTCACTTCCTTCGGACTGAGATCCTGTACTCCACATAACTTAGCGCGGGTGGTATGTCCATGATGAGTTGATGACTCGAGGAGAATATTTAACTTGTTAATGCAAGACTTATTATCAACGATGAACACATCGATTGTTTTGTTTTTATTTCAAATCATTTATCGCAAGTTTCTTATAAAACTGTTAACGTAGTCTTTCAGTAACTGTTAGACGTTTTAAGATTTTAATGTACTTATCTTGAGATGGTATTGTAAGTAATATATTTGATCTAACTTCACCTGTACTGAGTATTTCCTACTACTACTACGCTATACCTTGCAATGTGATATTCGTGTAACTTCATACAGTTTCTATAGCTGTAACATATTGTTATCTTTGACATATCTAATTCTATGCGTTTTATAATAAATTATCTCCTTTTATATAATACAGTTATTTGAAATATTTATGTTTTTCATTGAGTATGCTAATAAGGAAGGTATCACTTTACTTATAGAGTGCCCGTCGGTGCAGACCACCCTTTCTGATACAATGTTTGCTTTCTATTCGTATCCTGTGAAAGGAGTCGTATTTTATCAACGTGTTGGAATATAAAAATATACTTTGGAAAATGTCTAACGTTGGTCGATGCATAATAATCAGTTCGGAACCTCGTCATTGAAAGTGGTAAAGGAATTTTAACTAAGTAACGATCTAGAGTAAGCTGGATACTCTGGTGCGATTTCTGTGGAGGGCAAGATATTATTATTGAGACTTTCAAAAATTCTCTGTAATTACCACGACTTTTGCTTATAATTAGTAACAAGATCACTAGAATCAATGTATACAAGGTGCGTGTACCGTAAACATGGTTCCGCGTACCCCTTCCAGAAATAAAACCCCTACTATAATGTTAATTAATTAAGCCAATAACAGCAATTATACCGCGGAACCAGTGTAAGTATATTATTTAAGTTATAATTAGGGTTGCCACCTTTTACTTTGGTATTTAAAGTACATTGACGATTATAGGTAAGAAAAAAAAGTACATAGTACAAAAATAAAGTACAATTTATTCTTATTTAGTATTATATTTAAATATATACTTTTTATTGCTTTTTGCAGTTTGTATAAAATTAATATCTTTACTAATCTTTACTAGAAATCGTCTAAGTGGCGCTGGCGAGTGGCGAAATCGATTCAACATAAGTCGATAAATATCGATATCGAATTTTGCAAAAATAAAGTACTTTCGTGTACTTTATTATTCTTATAAAGTATAGAGTACAATTACCTTAAATAACGTACAATACTTTATTATAAAGTACGGGTGGCAACCCTAGTTATAATAGACCTCCCTTCGTTTCATTGCCGGCCCATTATTTTCTTATCAACATTTCACCCCCACTTCCTCTTTCATAATCCTCCCTTATCGCCGCCTAGTCTATAAAAGCTGGAGACTTCAAAATTTAAAACCATTATTCTGTTGTGGCAACGAGTGGAAGTCGTCAAATTGTTTTATAAGTTTTTAACGACAATATTTAATAGGTGTTTGATGTTTATCTGATAGTCATTACATTAGCACTCTGAGGTATATTTTTGATGGAATGTTATTGATTTATTGAGTTGTTATTTTTTATTCGGGTAGTGGCTAAGTTTTTAACATAAAATCAGAAATTTTCTACCTACGTAGAAAATTACAGCTACTCTTGTAAAGATAAGACGCCATTTTTGATTAGATACTAGAATGGCACTGCGATGGTAGATACCTAATTAATAAAGCGTTAGATCAAACATTCGTAGATGAACGATATAGTCTTTATAGGTGCGTTTGCTTATTCATAACAGACTCAAAACAAATTTAGCTTCGACCAGACGTTTATACAATCAACGTTAATCGAGAGAAAGTGTTTTTATAACAACAGTCTCAAACTTCTCACGTTAGTCACATGTCGCGGACAGCAAGCAATAAACTCGACACTCTAACAAATTAAAAAAAAACTGCCATTTTGCGAATAAAAATATAACGTTTACAAAATAAATGGTACGCTCGTGTCATAAAATATTTCAGTTCCAACACAAAACTTCCATTTATTAGAGAGAAAAGTCGTTGTAGTTGACTGTTGAGTTAGGTATAGTCAGAAATATGTTTAGCTGGCGAGTGTCGCCCCTAGTCATTAAGATTGAGGTGAGCCACATGAGCACTGAGCATGAGCACTCACTTAGGCGGCAGACATTAATTTCCTCATAACAGTCGTTTAGCAAACCGCCTGTGTCGCAGTAATATTGCTAAAAGCCTCTATTCATTATTTCTCTACCCCCCTACATCGCTTAAACGCTATCGTATTGATGTGACTTTCTGCGAGAAATGGGATGATGGAAATTAAGGTGCCTTGAGCCACAGATTTTGATATTATCTCCCGTTAAGCCGACGTAGTTGTTAGCCGGAATGTAATCCGCAACGTAGGTATTCCTTTGGGAATATATTAATAAGATTTTCTTTTGTTGTCAGCTTCTGTACGTAATGCGACGCATATACCACCTATCTATAAATCCACATAGTGCGACAAGGTTCTTAGGGTATCTTTTTTCCGATAGTGGAGTATGAATAGAAGCTGAGTTGTGTCACACGCGTTCATTACTGTGAATAATTAATCTTTGCGAGGTACGGTAAAAGCGTTCGTCGGGCGTCAGCCACCTATGTACATATGTCTGCTCGCCGCACGTCGTTACCGGCTAAGTGCTTATGAAGTATTTGTTAAGAATGACAACAGAATAGATGCCTATTTAGTACCGATGCTTTAAAGAAAGGGTCGGGGTCGAGGGTCGACCGGTTAAAACGGCGTAACAAAGGGGAGTCTGAGAGTGGTGTAGTGGAACCTGCCGCCCTTTACCTACGTATTATTATCCTATTTATGTCTACTCCTGGTTATTATTTAGAATTCGCAAAACTTCTAGGCTGTTTCTTTTATTTTAATTATGTTTGTTTTAATTATTGTTTAACGTGAATCATATTTGATAGGATCGTAGATCAAATTACATTTGCTGATTAAAAATATAATGAATGTGTGCTTTCAAAGTAATTATTGTTTGTTTTTCCATCACGGTATATCATTTTTGTTTATGTAGAGGTCCCTACTGTTTATTTTATTCGGTTCATCTTGTTCAAGTTGTGCCGGTCGATAAATTCTTTGCGGTAATAAATTATTTGTTACAAAATTTTAATAAACCAAAAATATTCCGTATGTTCAAAGAGAGTGAGTTGGGAATTCGTTGAAGACTTGAATGTCTTCGCAGTGCCTATTTAGCTAGAGCCTTGGCTATATAATGTGTTGTTCCTTACATAACGTTTTCATAGGAAGCGCCTAGTACACGACATTGTTAGAATTTTCAAACGGGTTAATATCAAGAGCGGCTGAGGAATGTTTAATTACCGCTGTGACATCCTGCGAGCGAGGCGCGGAGACAGTTGGCGCTAACATAGCTTGCCGCATGCCTATATAGGCTTTTCAACGCACGTCTTATAATTGTGTGATGTAACTACATATTAGCCGAACGCCTGTTTGATGTCTCAGCCAGCGCTTTGTCTGAACTGGCACAATGAATAAATGATTAATGGCGAACACACGGCACAGCTGTTCAAGTTGATGTTTGCAAAAAGTTGTTATTCGCATGTTCGTGTACGCCTAGCGTGTTTAAAAAGCAATAAAATTCTAAATACATAGAACAGCAACAGGTTATGAAGTCGCGGGCAATTTTTCATAAGAGCGCAACGCGAGCGTTCTCATAGATTTCACTCTTGGCGAGGAATTAGCGCGAAAGCCACGACAATTATTTACGACGTTTCCAGTGCGGAATTACAGCCTGCCGCGCCACCGCGGCCTTTTATGTTTATTCACAGGGTTATAATTCCCGGGTGTAGAGGATTATTTGAAAACGTAAACGGAGGTGAACCCATTTTTCACGCCACACGTCGGGTGCCAGTTGAAAGTAATCACTACAAATATGTCAAAAATTACCCGAGTGCACGCTTAGATGGGAGAGGTTAGCGCGCCCTCATTTGTAATGCACTGACAGAATGCATAATGCAGTGCGGATTTGTTTCAGCCCAGCTGCTGAGTTCGTTAACTGGCTGCGGGATTGTCATTGACTCAACATATTGATTCACTTACATGCACATGACATGTTTTTATTATGTACAAAGTGATACTACCGATACCTCAAGTCAGGATTGTAAAATATGATTTTGTTTCCTTAACACTAATTTGTTGACTATAAACTTCAGACACATATTGATGATTGTCGTCGTAATCATAAATATGGCTCGCACCGGTAAGACCTATCGACAATAATAAACGGTGGCCATAACTACGTACCAATGAGTATTTACAGGAAATGCAAATGATCAAGGTGTCAAATAGCGACCATTAAATTTGGATAACGCAGCTTACGTTTATATTTCGCACGTAATCCGGCCGACGTGTAAAATACGGCGCGTCAGTAAATATTAAACTCTGCAATAATAATTTCGCTTGTGTCAGTGTCATAAATATTGTCCAGAGATTTTCATATTAATTGCAGCTCCACTAGAGCACCTCTGAACGCATGAATTTTAATTTTATAACCCTTGTTTACATCGACCTTTGTAAAAGTATCGCTCTCATTTGTTAATATGAAGAGGGATTTAAATATGTGTCTGCGTGCTTCAATAGATATTTAAGCAGACTATGAAGTGATCTTGTCGTTTCTTCTCTGTCACACTATTAGATATACTCGTTGCTTCTTTAAGATTCAAGTGGAAGAATGCTAAAGTGGTGTTCTTCATATTGTTTTTACAATCCGAATTCTTAAAATAAACCTCAGAACCTGTGATGTAGGTATCTCATGGCGAAGGTTAAACAAATTACTGGTAATTGACTTTTATAAATTAATGCTGCGGCACAACTGTAAGTGTGCAAGTAAAAACGAAGAGAACGGTCCTCGTCCTCGAGCAAGAACACCAATTGATTTTTGATGTCGCCGGCGCTCGTGATAATGATTCACTGGCCAACTACTTAGTACTCCCACCGATTGACTGACAAAAACTTTATTTATCGACGAAGTTTAATAATCGCGCTGTGTAAAAGGATCTTATACCGAACGATCATTACCTGTGATTGATTGAATTGAGTTCGCCGTTAGCTGATAGTTTAATTATTATTTATTATCATCACACCTCTGCCGCGTGCGGTTGCCTCTCTGTAATTATGAGGTCCAATTTAATGAGTGTGTTGGATTGCCTTTGAGCTTGTACGTGATCGTATTACATACATTACATTATCACAGGATACTTAAATCAAATCATCACCTAATGTGTCACCTTTTTAGTTTTACAGTTACAGAATATTCTAATCCATTAAAATATTTGTACGTACAAGGGACTAACATCGAATCTCCTCATTAATGTTATTTTTTATAGGTAGAACTCGAATCTCACTCGTGTCCTATTTAATATTATAGTTATCGTATATCACGACGCACGTTTTGTCCAGCACTACATTAAATTTTATAGAGACGTTTGGGTTACAGATGGGCTCTCTATAAAGACGTGGATAGGAAAACATTAGTTCGTTTTCCAGCTCGACAAATCAAGATAGTGTCGTGATAAACGTCGCATCCAATCACC